TGTCATAGATGGCTTTGATCAGGGTAAGGTAGAGGCCATCTATTCCTATTTTCTGTAGAGTTTTAATCATAAATGCATGTTGGACCTTGTTGAAAGCTTTTTCTGCATCTAATGAGATGATCATGTGGTTTTGGTCTTTGGCTCCATTGATATGGCGTATAACGTTTGGTAAGTTTTTGATTACATTTTCAATTTCATTGATTGTTAGCAGTTTATTTAGAACTTTTATATCTTCTTGATTCAGTTTTGACGATTCATATGTGCCTAGCAATCTGTCCTCCATTTCTTCTGTGTTTTCCATCTTATTAGAGTACATGTTCTTCAAGTAGGTATTGATGATCTGGATTTCTGCAGAATCCATTGTGATTTCACCCTTTTCATCCCTTGCTTGAATTTACATCTTTTTCTGTCCTATTTTTCACAAGGTTGGCTAGGAGTTTATCAATTTTATTTAATCTTTCAAAGAATGACCTCTTCAGTTGAGTTGACTGTATTTTTCTTGTCTCAATTGCATTAATTTCTGCTTTGATCTTTATAATTTCCTCTGTTGTACAAATTTTGGGTTTGATTTATTCTTATTTTTCTAGAAGTTTGAGGTTCAACATTACACTGTTTATGTGAGCTTGTTCTGTTTTCTTGATGTGAGAATTTACTGCTATAAATGTCCCTCAGAGGACTGCCTCCATTGCATCCCGTCTGCATTGGTGGTATAGTGGTGAGCATAGCTGCCTTCCATTGCATCCAATAAGTTCTGGTATATTGTATTGGCATTATTGTTTAGTTGTAGATACTATTTAGTTTCTTCTTTAATTTCCTCTGTGACCCATTGGTTGTTCAGGAGAGGGTTGTTTAATTTCCATGTGTCTGTGTAGTTTTTATGGTTTCCCTTGCTGTTGATTTCCAATTTCACTGCACTATAGTCAGATAATATGCATGGGATAATTTGAAGTCCTTTGCATTTACTTAGACATGTTCTATGGGCTATTGCATATTGTATATTATTGTGGTTTATTTTGGAGAATGTTCCATGTGCATCTGAGAAGAATGTGTATTCTGATGTTATTGGGTGGAACACTCTGTAGACATCTACTAAGTCTATTCGTCTATAGGTTTGTTTTAATTCTGATATTTCTTTGTTTTGTTTTTTGTGGGTTTTTTTGGTCTAGTTTATCTAATTGAGAGTGGGGTATGAAGGTCTCCCATTACAATTGTGTTACTGTGTTAATGTTTGTTTGTTTTGTTTGGATCATCTAAGCTCAATTTTGTTAAGTTACCATGACAAGCCCTTAAATGGTACTGTTTAATTTATAGTACTAGTTAATCATTATTCTCAATGCATATATATTTGTGTTTTTGGATAGATGAAGATGAGGTGGAATTAGGGCACTAGATAATGAGTAGAGGAGCACAAAGAATGTGGAGGAGTGAGACCCAAAAGATAAGAGGCAAGAAATATATATATATATATATATATATATAAGAACATAAGATTTTTTATTCATAAATATATGTCATACATATTTGATTACATTCATCGTAGGAAACTTGTACTTGATATATATATATATATATTGCCTTTTTGAGACAGAGTTTCACTATGCAGTTCCAGCTGGACTTGAACTCACTTGGTAGCCTAGGTTGACCTCAAATTCACAGCAGTCCTCCTGCCTTAGCCTCCTGAGTGCTGGTATTATAGGTGTGCACCACTACACCCAGCCTAAGAAACATGTTTTTAAAAGAGGGAGCAAATGAAAGGGGAAACTCTTGAAACTTAAAATATAATAATCAACTAGTATTAATAAAGAAGAACCAAAAGAAAGAATAAAAGGTGAAAACAGACAATAGAGAAAAACAAAAACAAAAAATCCTCAGCTAGGATGACCCAAATCCAACACAGTAGCAATGTTACAACCCTGCAATTATCAAGATCAAAGTGGAAATAAAAATAGAAGCCAGCACACAGTTATAGTATTAGCTCAGTTCTTCTACAGCTTTCTCTACACTGGCAGTACTCTCTGGTCTTGAGTAGCCACACAGTTTCCCTCTGTGGGCCAGAGTATTGCCTGTCCAAAACAACGAGGACTGTTGCTCCTTCCTAATACACACCCTCTTTTGAGCTCTGGGTCGCTCACTTGCAGACTTCCATGGATCCTATTACCCTAATTGAATTCAGAGAGTAAATATGAGTGAGTGAATCTCTCCCCTCTCCAGGTTTTCTTTGCTGATTATTTGTTTGTTTGTTTGTTTTCTGGTACCGGGAATTGAACTCACGACCTCGTGCTTGCCAGGCAGGCACTGTGCCACTGAGCTAAACCCCCAGCCCCTTTCTTTGCTGATTATATGGCCAAAAAGCCACTGGCACAGCTGCCATTCCGGCCTCCCTCACTGCAGAGGTCTGTTTTACCTCCACCCACAGAAGCAGTAGGAGGACACTAGCTCTCTTTTGGCTCAAGTCACTCTCTGCCTCTGCTCCTCCTTGGGAGCTTGCTGGCAGTTGCATGTAGTGTGTCGACTGTTCTCCATGTAGTATTCTCATTGTATGTGGGAACAATAGGCAGATTATTATTAACAATCTCTCTCCCTGGTGTCCCATTGCCTGCCAGCTCTGGAAGCAGGTACATGGGTCCATGGCAATTAAATTCTATTCCATTCTTTCTTTTTTGAGTCTTTGAATCCCTGGGTTGAAATGAGATCCGTAGGGAGGTTATTGTGACTGCGAATCTGTTCAGTCATCCAGGCTGTCACTGAAGGTTCAGATTGCTCCCTTCCTTGGGTGGATTATTTCCCAAGATGGCATGTAAGCCGTGTCTGGGGTGGGAGTGGGGCAGGGTACTGTGATCTAGGCATGGTGTGTTTTCCCCTCACTCACCCTCTAAACACTGGACTTTAGTCCAGACGGATTATCTTGTTGGGTATCTTTCTGTTATGGCTTGTGTCTAGATGTCCCCCCAAAGCCTCATGCAGTCATAGGTGGGGCTTTTTCAGAGGTAGCTCAATCTAGGGCATGTGTTTGGTTCATAGTACAAAGCTAGGATTAAGGGTGTGTGATTACTAAATCAGTCCACTGATTGGTTGGGGACCATCCTAATCCCAGTAGCCTGGATGCAATATAAGGGACAAAGAGGCTTGTCTTGTACCTTGCTTGGTTTGCTACCTTCTGCCTGCCATGAACTACTCTATCATGCCCTCTTCCATGCCAACCTGCCTTAGAGCCAGCCAATTATGGACTGAAACCTCTATAATCTGTGAACTAAATAAACTTTTCCCTCTTTCACTTTGGGTTTCAGGTATTTTGTCTCAGCAGTTAGAGAAAAGTAACTAAGATATATCCTATATCAAACTTTATCTTTTGCCCCTGCCTCAGGATAACTGCTTTTCTTCAGCACTGATTTGGAGACACTAGTCCTGTCTGTCACCCTCAAGTTAGCCATCATGGACCTTCAACCGTTTCCATTTTTAGACAGGCCAGGCTAGGTAGGGAAGGGGCTGTTCCAGTGATCCCCTTGTCTCTGTTTCATCTAAAACCCTACCATGATCATCGTGTATGTTGTGTTCATATCAGAACATGTTAACCCAGGAGTCTGTGTCACATGTCCCCAGTCTATGTCAGGAGACACCAGAGGATGCAAGGAGAATAGCATGCCCTAGGTTAGTATAAAGATCTCTGAAGAGTGTATTCTGTACATGGTAGAACATGCTGGATTACATAGGAGCCATGCCAAGGTGGGGTGGGGCATGTTGTGCTGTATTAGGCTGTGCCTGTGCTCTAACCTGCTGATGCTGCCTCTTCTGCACCTCCATATTCTGCTTTCTGTCCCTCGCTTCCATTTTGCCATGTTGGGATTGGAGGGGAGAAGTAAAGACCCCTAACTGAGACCTTCCCCCCAAAGCCCATCCTCTTCTTTCTTCATTGTCCCTCTTTTTTCTCCTTCATGTTAGTTGAGGTTGCGGTCAAAGACTTCTTCTATGGCTTCCTGAAACCATGGGTGGGTGAGTACCTGCAGGTGAAGGGGCTTGGGGACAACCTGGGAGGCAGGGGAAGGAGCTACCTTTGCCCACTGCCCTTGGCTGTCCCACCAGGGGATGGGCTTTTGGTGAGTGCTGGTGACAAGTGGAGCCGCCACCGTCGCATGCTGACACCCGCCTTCCATTTCAACATCCTGAAGCCCTATGTGAAGATTTTCAGTGACAGCACAAAAGTAATGCATGTAAGTCCTTGAGCCAAGGGTTCCAAGTGGGATCTCGGGGGAGAAAGGGCCGTAGACAGATTAGGTCTACAGTCCTGGCTCTGAGGGGTTGCTTTGAGGCTATTGGTCTTTCTCTCTCAAACTTTGGTTTCTTCATCTATAAAATGGCAATAAAAATCTCTAAAGATGGCCCAGAGGAAGTCATGGAGTCAAGTCTGTGGCACAAAGTGGGTGTTCAGAATGGACAAATTCCATGTTTCTCACGTAGAAGTCCTATAAACTGAAAACATAGGAAGGATGAAGATTGCATAGAAGCTATTGCTGAATAGTAAACCATCTTCAAACTCATTGGTGTAGAGCACTAAGTATTCAGGATAGAAGCATTAGATCAGGAGGCTGGCTCTTCTGGCTAGGGATGGGATCACTCATGGTGTATAATCAACTGCAGGCCAGAGGGAGCTTTCTTGATCCTAGCTCAGTTCTCTCCCATGTTTGGCACTTCTAACTTCAGGCTGATTCAGAATGACCTCCGCTAGATATGTAGACTCTGATCTGTATGATTCTTTCTTCAGAAGGCATCCTGAAGTTGTTTACATGGTAGAGACAGGGTCTCACAGGAGTGAGAGGGGGTTTCAATGCCCCTTGAAGCTTAGGTTTATTGGAGTTCTGATCTCATTTTCACCACCTTGATGTGGCCCAAAGTCAGGAGTCCAGCACAGAGTCAAAAACAAGTGACAGAGGCTCCACTTTTTAATGGAAGTTGCTGAAAAATCACATTGTACAGTGTAAAGGAAGATGGTAAGAACTGGGGGGAGGGTTTTGTGAGGTGTCTAGCATTTTTCCTTACTTGCAAGGTTTTGAGTTTGTTGGTTAGTGTTTCATGTATTCTGCAAGAAGACATGAGATTCCTGGGTCAGAGACAAAGTATTTTACTCATGGCACAGCATGCAGGATGTGCTGCTTGTTGGTTTTCTTCCCTTCTCCAAGCCACCCCAATCCCATAGGAGTCACACAGGTGAGCCCCAATTGGTGCTGTTCGTGTGTATATTGCATTACAGTGGAAGGGTCTTAGCCTTAGGGAACCTGCTATTCTAGCAAGCAGAAGCATCCCTGATGTTTATCTAGTGGTAGTCATTCCCTCATTCACAGAGGTTGTTCTCTGCCAACACAACTCTGAGAAATGTTAAGAACATCAGGGGAGTACATCTTTGTCATAGATAGCAAAGATGTGTGGTAATACTCTCTCAAAGCAGGGCTATTTCTTTGAGTTACCACAAAGAAGATAAAGATAGGTGGAACTTACCCAGAAGTTAACATATATTAAAAATAATGTCCTATGATAATTCCACAATACATGCTGCCCAGTTTGATTTTCACCAATGTGAGAGGTAGAGGTTACCTTTCCCCATCACAGATGGAAAACTTGAACATCACAGAGATTAGGAAGTGTCTTAGTAACTTTTTCTCATTGCTGAGACAAAATGCCCAACATCTAATGCTAAATGAGGAAAGGATTATTTCAGCTCATAGTTTATAAAGGTTTCAGTCCATAGTCGGCTGTCCCCAAGGCGGGGTGGCATGGAGGAGGGGCATAGTACATGGTAAGCAGGCAGGAGACAGCAAAACAGCCAGCAGCCAGCAGCCAGCAGCAGCAGCAGCAGCAGCAGCAGCAGCAGCAGCAGCAGCAGCAGAAGAAGAAGAAGAAGAAGAAGAAGAAGAAGAAGAAGAAGAAGAAGAAGAAACCAACATCAGCCTTCTTTCTGTCCCTTTATATCTCATCCAGGCCACCTTCCCTTTGGACAGTGCCATCCACATCCAGGGTGGGCCACCCTTGATCCCAACATCACACACCCTAGATCTAACCAGTTCCAAAAACCCCACCTATGACTGCATGACATTTTTTTCAGGGGGAGCATCAAGATACAAATCATAACAGGAAGCCTATAAAAGTCATCCAGCTAGTAAGTGAGCTAGTCGCTATAGAGCAAATGTTTTATCCTAGTTTATTGGAGCCAATGCAGGCCAACTAAACCAGCTGAAGATTTGAAAGGTGGATAAGAGGAATGAGTTCACCAAGAGAGCACAGAGAGTGGGAGGCTGATCTGGGACCTGAACTCAGAGCTTGAGACTTCAAGTTTTTTTTTTAATTTAAATTTAAATTTTAAAATTTTTTTTTTCTGGTACCGGGAATCAAACTAATGACCTTGCACTTGCCAGGCAGGCATTGTGCCACTGAGATAAATCCCCAGTCCCTCTTTTTTTCATTTTAAAGAGAATTAAAAAAATAAGAACAATAGAAAAATGCCAACAACATAGAAAAAAACAATACGAATGATACAGGATTTCAGAACAAAATGATAAGGTTAACAGTGGTTGTTATATTACATATTTTTATCTTTGTCGAAGTTGGTCAGATTACCAGATGTAAGAATGCAAGATTAATCAAACTATTAAAGAGAATAAAAAATGAAAACAAAAGATTATAAATGATACAGAGTTTTACCAAACAAGATGATAGGAATTCAACAATAGTTGTTATGTTGCATATTGTTGTCTTCACATTAGTTCTTCAGATTACCAGATATATAGTAATAGTTTCTGTTCACACTCAAGCTTGGTCTTCCCTGGAGCAGAGGACCGGCAGGCTGCTTAGAGAATCCATCCTGGTGATTGGGGATGGGGAGGGGCTTAAAAGAGCCGAGGCTCAGTGGCATCCCTGTCCTATTCTCTGGCCAGGCTAAGTGGCAGCGCCTGGTCTCCCAGGGCAGCACCTGTCTGGACATGTTTGAGCACATCAGCCTGATGACCCTGGACAGTCTGCAGAAATGCGTGTTCAGCTTTGACAGCAACTGTCAGGAGTGAGTCCTTTCCCTGGGCTGGGACCCTGAGCCATGGAGCCAAGGGAGGAGGTGGGGAGGGAGAACTTACCAGAGGAATTGGAAGATCCTTGTTGTGGGAGGTGGGTCAGATCCAGACATTGAATGATAAGGAAGGCAAGAAAGAGAGAGATAGTGGCCTTCCCATGTAAGTGGAATCATTTGAGTAATTATTGGCAAAAGGACTCAAATGAGCAAAGTAAGGGGAAAGAGGCACACATTGCAGGAGGCAGCTTGGAAATGATGTTGCAGAGGCAGGTTGTGGCTAGATCACAAGGACACTGAAAAACCTATCAAAGGGGTGTGAACTTTCTGCTGATATTTCTTGGGAGCCACGAAGATATTAAGCTCTTGTTAGTCAGACTTGTGATACTGTGACTAAATGCCCCAAACAGTCTTCTTACATTAAGGAAAGGCTTATTTTGGGTCAGTTTCAATGGCTTCAGTCATGATCAATTGACTCCATTTCTTCTGGATAGTTTTGAAGTGGTACATCGTGGTGGGAGTGGGTATTCCAGAAGACCATTCACCTCAGGGAGTTGGGAGAAGAGAGACAGACAGAAAGTGATGGGCTCCCAATATTTCCTGAAGGGCTCACCTGGAATTATCTATATTCCCTCACCTTCCAGAGGTTCCACCACATCCTAATAGCACTACAGGCCGGTAGCCAATCATTGGACATATGTTCCTCCTAGGGACACTTCCGTATAACAGCAGACTTGATGCTGGGCATGATCAGATCTGAGCTCTGTGGAACATTGATTGCCATGTAAATACTGGATGGAGTGACACAGAATTCAAGGAGACTGTGGAGGTGTTAGTCCATGGACCAGTTAGAAGAAAATGAAGTGTGAGATTTGTGGAGACTTCCAGGAAGGGGGAGGAATAGGACTAGATACTGGGTCAAAGAGAAGGAAGAAGAGGAACAATAACCACACTGTTTTTTTTGGTGACTAGGAGACAGAGGCAGCTCAAGAGGTGGGGTGCTGCCAAGGAAGAGACTGTGGAGAGTCAAGTCACAGCTCATGCATCTGTGAGGCCACCAGCTGCTCGAGTCTCAGTTTCTGATGAGACATAACTACTAACTACTGGTGGGAAGTATTGCTCAGGTTTCACTTATGTGAAGTTTTTGCCTTCTTTCATGCCCCCACCCTGCAGGAAGCCCAGCGAATATATTGCCGCCATTTTGGAGCTCAGTGCCCTTGTGTCAAAAAGGGTTGATCAGATCCTTTTGCACAAGGACTTCCTGTACCGTCTCACCCATGATGGACAGCGATTCTGGAAGGCCTGCCGCCTGGTGCACGACTTCACAGATGCTGTCATCCAGGAGCGGCGTCACATCCTGCTCAGCCAAGGAATTGATGACTTCCTCAAAGCCAAAGCCAAAGCCAAAACTTTGGACTTCATTGATGTGCTTCTGCTGAGCAAGGTGGGCTTATCAATATGTAGAATGCGTCTTGCTGTCAAATGTCGGCTCAAATAACTTGAGCCTCCCCATAAGGCACTGAGGAAGTTATTTGAGAAGGAGGGACAAGCTAGTCACAGGGGCATTTTTGAGAGTGCTCTGGAATGCACGGGGCAGGGATTACTAAGTCTGAAACAATGACACACTTTATCGATAAGGAAATAAGTTAGGGTGCCACAGTCATGTTTATATCTATAAAATCGTTATCATCTCTGTATCTATGTTGACAGATGCACCAAACTCTTTGCCCATTTATTCTCAGTATTGTTAATTATTATTACTATTATTTTGAGACGAGGTCTCACTATGCAGCTCAGGCTCCTTCAGCTCACTTTGTAGCCCAGGCTGGTCTTGAACTTGTAATGATCCTCCTGCCTCAGCCTTCCGAGTGCTGGGATTACAGATGTGCATCACCACGCTCTTTGCCCATTTATTACTCACTGTGATAACAGCAGCCAGAGCAGAACTGTCACGATGGCTCCCTTTCCAACTCTCCCTTCCCCAGGTGACACAATACTTTTACCTGTATATGCAGCAAGGTTACAATCCTGAAAGAAGGTCTATACATTATGAATCTTGGAGCTTATATAAGACAGATCGCATATCTGCCTCTTCTCCTAGGGAGATGGAGAGAAAGAGGAAGAGGGAGAGAGGTAGGGGAGAGAGCTTTGTTCTGGAATACAAACAAGTTTTCTTCAGTGCAGAGGGAAAGTCTCCCAAATGCCTTTAGGGAGAAAAGATTTTCTGGATTTATTACCTGAGAATATGTGCAAATGTCTTTGAAGTAATTCTTGAGCTCTAACTTCCAAAGTAAAATTGCACAAGATGGCTGTCTTATAGCCCAGGTTGCTACTAAGCATATCTCAGAAATCCCTCATCATACAGAAATCTGAAAATATTAAAGCACTGTTAATTTTCCGACCAAAGCAAAAGAACAGTCAAGGAAGCTGGGAAGGATATCCGTGTGAGAGGGGCTCTGGAGATAGAGACTGATAGCCAGTGTCTCACTATTGTGACCAAGTAACTGAGAAAGACGATTTTGGTTGTACTGGGGATTTATCCCAGTACACTGAGCTACATTCACAGCCCCTTTTTATTTGTGATAGAGACTCAGTAAGTTGTTAAGTTACCCAGGTTAAACTTCAACTTATGATTCTCCTGCCTCATCCTCTCAGAGTGCTGGGACTGTGGTGCACCACCATGTCCAGCTAGAAAAATAGCTTACTGGGGGAATGATTTATTTTGGGTCACAGTTTTCCTGGGTGGTCCACGGGCCCTAGTACTTGCCCTGTGATGAAGCAGAAACATGAAGGCCCAAGGGCATAGTGGAGGAAAGCTCACCTTGTGGCAACCAGGAAGCAAAGAGAGAAGATAAAAGCCAGAGATGTAGAAGCTGGGGATGAGAAAGAGTCCCCAAGTTCCCACTCCCATTATTGTCTTCCAGTAGAACTTTCCTTTTAGTTTCATACTCTCCCAGGAATGCTATCCAATTACAATCCTAAAATTGGGTTAATGTGGCAATAAAATTTTAGCTCTCTCGAGCAATCACCTTCTGAAATCTCCACCTCTGAATACGTGAGACTGTTCAGGAGTATTTCAGGTTAAAACATAACCGTGACTAAGGGAAACCTAGTGGTATGAGTGGACTTGATTTCTGAGAGGTTTCTAGAAGCCCTGAGAGCTGGTGTGATTCAGAGGTTCTCACCTTTTCTCCAGGATGAAGATGGAAAGGAGCTGTCAGATGAGGACATACGAGCAGAGGCTGACACCTTCATGTTTGAGGGTGAGGGTTCCAGAGTGGGAGTCCAGGCTGTGCACGGTCTCTCCATCCGGGGAATGTGGTGGGTCGACCGTGGATCTGTCCATGCTTCCCACCGCCGCTTCCTCCCCGGGGTCTCAGGGGTCGGGCGCTGTCCACCCTGTGGTGCTGAAGCAGCTCAGAGACCCAAGGCTGCCCTGCTGTTGCTCAGGCCATGACACCACGGCCAGTGGTCTCTCCTGGATCCTGTACAACCTGGCGAGGCACCCGGAATACCAGGAGCGCTGCCGGCAGGAGGTGCGAGAGCTCCTGAGGGGGCGTGAGCCTGAAGAGATTGAATGGTGAGTCAGGTCCTCATAGCCTGTTCCTGAGCCCCTCTCATGGCTCTGCTTCCCAATATGGGCAGAGAGATTATACTTTTGCTGATTTTTCCCATTATTGCCTGATGAGTATAGGAGCTGAGTCCAGAGGCATCCCCTGGTACCCACCCTGGCTAGCAAAGGAAAAGTTGTGAGCTTTGGGATAGAAGGACATGGGTTGCTGAGACAATGTGTGAGGGTAGATGATGCATGTCCCCTCTACTCTTTTCCTTTTCTTTCAAGCAATATTTTTTCAAACACCTTCCTTCCCTGGGTGATTGTTCTGTTTGCTGTCACTCCTACCTGTGTCAGAGCAGGGACTGGTAAGGGATCCCAGGGGTAAAAGTCTGTTGTCCTGAACATCTATGCTATTCATCTTTATGTTTCATTCTGCAAACATCCCCAACTGCCTTTCCGTCCCCGATTCTGTGTTCAGCCCCATCCTTATTATAGAGACTTGCAAACCATCCAGCTCAGGGTTCTGCCTTCCCTGATTTCCCAGTTTGAGAGGCAGGGGAACTTTCCTAGATCAGGAGAGCTCCAGGACAGTTTTTTCATTATTTTGCTTTTCTAATTCTTAAACATTTGATTCATATTGGCTTTCCATTATTATATGGAGAAAAGATTCACCAGGGGAACACAGGGGCTGGTGGACTTTGCTTTTGGCCCTGGCTAACTGTGGGTTGTGGTTTCCTCAGGGACGACCTGGCCCAGCTGCCCTTCCTGACCATGTGCATCAAGGAGAGTCTGCGGCTGCACCCCCCAGTCACTGCCGTCTCCCGCTGCTGCACGCAGGACGTTGTGCTCCCCGATGGCCGGGTCATCCCCAAAGGTGCCCACAGCGTCAGAGCTGGAGGCGCCTAGGCAGGAATCAGGGTCCATCAGGCCGTGGAGCCTCGTCCTTACGGTCCCCTCCTCTCCACAGGTGTTAACTGCTTCATCAGTATTTTTGGGACCCATCACAACCCAGCTGTGTGGCCGGACCCTGAGGTGCTGCCTCCTCCTCCTCCCCCCTCCTGCTTGTACATTGCAGGGATCCTAGTGGAGCGGGCGGGTTTGGACCCAGGACATTTTCCGCTGCTGCACCCACACCTGCTCTCCCTGGCTGCTCTGGGAGACCCCATACAGCCACAATGGGTTGGTCTCTCTCCAGGTCTATGACCCCTTCCGCTTTGACCCAGAAAACATCAAGGACAGGTCACCTCTGGCCTTCATTCCTTTCTCCGCGGGGCCCAGGTGGGTGCAGCGGGTGTCTGAGCTGGGGATGGGCTGATGGGGGCGGGAAGGACAGGACAGGGAAATCCCTGTCCTTGGCAGGACAGGGGGGAAATCCGGGTGGGCTTCTCGCTGCCCCTGCGCAGGTTGTGCGCAAAGCTGTGAAGAACAGAGGTTGGGCAGGTGCAGCGGGCCCCTCGATGGGCTCAGAACCTGCTCCCTGCCTACCAGTGCGGTTCAGGCCCTGGCGTCTCAGCCTGGTTCGGGGACAGACACGCCCAATTGGGGTCCAGGCACGATTAGCACCCTCCCTGTCCCTGGAGTTGACCAGGGTGGGGTGGGGTCCCGGGCCAGGTTCAGAACGACGGGGCTGGAGGATCCCGGGTCATGGTCCCTCCCCGCCCGCAGGAACTGCATCGGGCAGACCTTCGCCATGGCCGAGATGAAGGTGGTGCTGGCGCTGACTCTGCTGCGCTTCCGCGTCCTGCCCGACGACGCCGAGCCGCTCAGGAAGCCGGAGCTGATCCTGCGCGCAGAGGGCGGGCTTTGGCTGCGGGTGGAGCCGCTGAGCAAAGGCTTGTAGGGAGCTCCTCAGCCTGGCCTGGGACCCAGCTGGCCCCACCCACCCTCCTTTGCAGACTCTCAGGAATAAACTGTGCTGCCACCTGTGTCTGAGTCTCAGTGAGCGCCAGCAGGGGGCGCTAGGGAGCCACGGATGGGAGTGACTGGTGGAGGAGGAGAGGGGATGGGGTCTCTGATCCCAAGACCCAGACTGCCTCTGGCTGTGCACAGGGCCCCATGCTGACGGCGGGAGCCATAGGAGGTGCTTGAGCAGAAGAGCGACCGGGGTCAGTATGGAAGGAAGGGGTCCCTGCTACCCCATCGCCACCTTTCTGATCTTCAGTCTTAGTGCCTAACACACTGTCTTTTGTCACCTCGGGATTCTTCAGAGTTTGTGTGGTCACTCAAATTTTTTATAGATAAAATAATTTTATTGTGAATTTTAAAAATTAGTACATATTTGCAATACATAATGCTTACATTCATTTTAGTGAGTAGTTACATGAATTCAGCATAGTTTCCTTTATTCCTCTCTTCCTCTCCCTTCCTCTCCCTCTGTCTCTGGACCCACTCCCATTTGCAAAAGATCTTTTGCCTTGTTTCCTGTAGCCTATCTTTTATTTTTAAAAAATTATTTATACTTTGGGTTTCTCATATAGGAGAGGTCTGCGACATTTAAGCTCGTGTATCTGATTTATTCACATAACATTATGGTCTCAAGGTGCATTCATTTTCCTACATATGATGCAAATTTATTCTTCTTTATGGCAGAGTAATACTTCATTGTGCACAAATTCCACATCTTTTTTTTTAGATTCTTTTTTTATTTTAAAGAGAAAAGAACAGAAACAAAATAATAAAAACAAAATGACACAAACGATACAGAATTTCAAAACAAGATGATAACAAATCAACAATGGTTGTTGTATTACTTATTGTTATCTTCAAAGTAGTGCTCAGATTACCAGGTATAGGTATGCAGGATTGATCAAACAATTAAACATGACCGGTTCCTTTCAATAAACCAATAGAAATTAGAAGTGCAATTATCTTAGCTGTCTTGTGTATATGTATGTATATATTTTCTTCCTTTTCCACATTTTCTTTATCCATTCATCTGTTGGATGTATAGGCTGCTTTCAAGATTTAGCTATGATGAGTTTTACTGGTACAAACATGGGTGTGTATGTATCACTGTGGTATGCTTTCTTTAACTCTTTTTTTCTTTGAGGCAGGGTCCCACTAGGTAGTCCAAGTTGACACTGAACTCACTGTGTAGCCCAAGCTGGCCTCACACTTGCAGTAATCCTCCTGCCTCAGCCTCCCAAATGCTGGGATGATAGGCATGTGCCACCATGCCAGGCTTTTCTTTAATTCTTTTGGGAAGATACTCAGCAGGGAAATATCTGGGTCAAATGAAATTTCTATTTTTCATTTTCTGAGGCATCTCCACACTGATGTCTTTTGTGGTTGTACTGGTTTATGTTCCCACCAACCATGTGAAAGTATGCCTTTTACCCCACAGCCATGCCAGTATCTATTATTGATTTTTAAAAAAATGATAGCCAGTTTTTCTGGAGTAAGACGAAATCTCAGCGTTGTTTTAATTTGCATTCTATTGTGGCTATAAGTGTCAAGCAATTTTTCGTGTATGTATTGGCCATTTGTATTTCTTCTAAGAAATGTCTGTTCATTGCAGCGGCCCATGTTTTGATTTGGTCTTTTATTTTGGGAGAGTCTTTTATTTTGGTTTTCTTTGTAAACTCTAGATATTAGTCCTCTGTCAGAGGAGTAATTGGTGGAATATTTTCTCATTCTGTAGGTTCTCCCTTCACTCTATTGCTTGTTTCCTTTGCTCTGAGGAAGCTTTTTAATTTGATATAATCCTATTAGTTGATTCATGATGTTTTTTTGTGTGTAATTAGGGTTCTGTTTGGAAAGTTCTTGCTTCCACCCATGTCTTCAAAAATTTTATCTACTTTATCTTTCAGGAAATTAAGTACTTTTATTTTAACATTTAAATCTTTGTTCCGTCTTGGTTTTAGCTTAGCATATGGTCAGCGGTATGAGTCTGGAGTCAATTTTCTGCCAGTGTTTGAGTGGCTTCCCAGCACCACTTGCTAAAGAGGCTAACTTTTTACGCAGAAAATATTGCTTTATTAACTATATTTGCCAACACCTGAGGAATGTAGAGGGCTCCTTAGGTCACAGGCCCTGGTAGGGACTGGGGTCTGGAAGCCCCCCGAGTGGGCAGGACAGGAAGGGGCTGGGAGATATGCAGCAGCGGCCACAGAGAATCATGCAGGGCACAGCGGGCCTTGGTCTCACTAAGGCGACCAGACATTCTATTGCTCACTAAGGGTGGTGAACAAGGACAATGTACAAAACGGAGAAACAGATCTTTGTGGTAAGGAAAAGTACATTTTTTTTTTTTACAAAGGAATCTTTTCTAATACAAAAAAATAGTGCAACATAAGCCAAGAATAATTTAAAATTGTACTTTTTGATATATTTTCCATATTCCTCTTGTATATTAACAAAAGGCACATCACTTTCTTTGACACAAAGACAGGTGTCTCCTCCTGCGACATTTGCATCCCCCCCCTCACATGATTTGGAGCACAAAGGGTTTGTGCATCTGAGGGCAAGAGCAGCAGGTGGGGGCCTAAAGAACAGCCAAAGTAAGGTCCTGGGCTCCAGCCCTGGCTCCTTGGTCAGTGTGACCAGCTGGGATGAGGGCATGAGGGAATGGCCTTGCTACAGGGATCCAGGTTATTCTGCAAAACTTTGGGCATGGGCAGAGGTTGACCACATCTCTGCAGTGAGTAGGAGGCACCAAGTCCAGCTGCTGCCAAGGTTTGTTAGAACTGGGGAGCTGGGGCTCTAGGAATTACCCCGGCAATTCCCACGGTGTGCCTGGACATAACGTACACAGTGTGCCTGGACATAAAGCAGTGCATGCGCAGAGACAGAAGGCGTGCACTGCTTGCCTGTGTGCGCGCGCACACACACACGCACACAAACTATGGCCCAACACCTGCGTCTGGAAACCCAGGCGGCTTCCCCAAGGAAGCTAAGGTCTTCACCACTGCAAGTGCTCACGCAATGTCACAAAGTCAGAGCTCATTTAATAAAATAAAAGAGCATTCTACCTTTCTACTCATTTGTTTCCAAATACACTTATGATACATAAAAGTACTTTCCTTGCACATTAGCCTTTGCCATGTGATGAGAGGAGGAGGAAGGTGGAAGGGGGCCAGGACTGGTGAGAGTGTGGGACATTAGCCAAATCTGTCTCCCTAGGGAGGGGCAGTGATTATGGACAGATGTGGTCAAGAACATGGTCTGCTTCTGGCCTGGAAAAGGAGCCTGCTTTGGTCTCAGGGAGTCAGTACCCTCCACACTGAAGACAGGAGGCCCGAAAAAGAGTGAGAGGCTGTGGGATAATAGGGAAGTTTGGTCTGGGATGGGAGAGACTGGCAGCTTGGTCCTCCCTGTGACCTGGTGGGCACCCTGAAAGAGGAGACAGAGGCCTGGGGAAGACCGCATGAGGGCCTAATCTGGGAGTGGAGCCATCAGCTTAAGACACCTGGGCTCTGCAAGACACAGGCCCAAGGGATATTTTAGTCCAGACCAGCTGCAGGAGGACCAGAATCAAGAAGCCAAGGAGAGCAGAGGCTTTTTGAAGACTGCTAACCACCCCTTCTGCCTTCCTAGCCCAGGCTCTGGCTGTGGAGCTGGGCCAGACCCAGGGAAGAAGCCAGATTCTCCCACACCCATCCCCTATTTCTCCACTCACACAGCCCAGCCCTTGCCCCAGGATGGAGAGAAGATGTCAGCGGTGGGTGCTGAGTTACCTGAACACTGAGCTTCATCCAACTTCGTTGTTCCTTATGCTTACCCCATTGGTGGCTGCAGGGTTTGTCCAGCTAATTCAGTGCAGAGAATGTTGCAACCTGAGGTGACTCTAAGCACAGGGAAGGGAGGTTTGTTCAAAGGCAGTAAACAGAGCCTGGCGTTGGGATGCTGATGCTGACACTGAAGTGTCACTACTACAGAGGTAGTAAGGCAGCCTAAGCCCATGTGGCAGCTCATGCCATCCTGGACTTGGAGGACCTCCCTTACAGTCCACTTGGATTAGACAAATTTGCCCAATCTAGAGAGGGTGTTTTTCCTCCAGCATATGTTTTTGGCTCTGTTATGGTTTCTGTCTGGATGTCCCCCTAAAGCCTTATGCAGTCATAGGGCAGGCTTTTAGAGTTTATGACTGATTCATGGTCCAGTGCTGGGATTATGGGTTTGGGGCGGGTAGTTTGCATACAATATGAGGGAGGGAAAGAGGCTGCTTTCCACTGCTCCTCCCTTTTGCTCTTGTTGCTTTTGCTGTCTTCCTTCACCATGAACTGTTGCCCTCTGCCATGTGCTACTCTGCCTTGGAGCCAGCTGATTATGAACTGAAACCTCCACAAACTGTGAGCTAAATAAACATTCCCTTCCTTAATTTTGGGTGTCAGGTATTTTGTCTCAGCAATGAGAGAAAAGTAACCAAGACAGGTTTATTTGTCAAATATCAGATGGCTTAGTGTGCCTGTGGTTGTATCTTCATCTATGTTGTTCCATTTATTTGCATGTCTGTTTTTGTGCCAGAACCAGGTTTTTTTAAAAAAATCACTGTAGCTTGTAGTATAACTTAAAATTCAGGATTGTGATCCTTCTCCTTCTCCTTCTCCTTCTCCTTCTCCTTCTCCTTCTCCTTCTCCTTCTCCT